GGTGCATCAGTGTGTTTCTGGCTCTGTTATTCTGAGCAGGCAACAAAAAGTTATTAGTAAATCTTTGCTCTGTGGATCGTGACATTTTCATAACCTGTAGAATGATATCATATGCATAACGATCACAGCATTTTGCCAAAATTTATTAAGTAGCTACATATCCATAACCATCTGAAAGACTGTTGTGACGATATGATAGAATTAGAGCAACTCGCTATGTTCTACTCGAGATCCGCATCATTGTCGAAAAGGCTTTCACGGTTGATTTTGATCTTTGGTGCTCTTGGTGGATAGTCAGCGTCAGCGGTCAGCTGCAAAATTATCAATAAATAATAAGTACGGGGTGTGACTAAACTCACAATTCGAATGTCCATGGATAGACCACCATCTGCGAATTTCTTGGCCGCGGCAGCGAAGTTGGTAGCGAAATTTGCTGCAAAAACAGATTTAGAGAGTACGATGATTGAAACTCTAAACGCTTACATTCGAGCAGATTATAGGCTTCAGGCCATGTCTTGGCAATATCGTTCTTGACTGCTGTGGGAGCTGTGTTATAAGCTGTCTTGAAGTCAGAAATAACTCTGGCAATCTGGTTGGCTACTTGTGGACGAGGAGCAGAAACTGCGGAAAAGATTCTCCTCCACCACTGGAAAGTGTTCATTTGGTTTAAAATGAGATATAGGCAATCATCGCATGCAGAGACTAGGCGCCGTGCGTCCGAATGAGATAGTTTCTGTTTGGGAGAGACTGCAGACGGTTAGAGAAGTAAGGATGCGTTCAATCTGGGAGACGCCGACAATGTTCGCAGCGGCGGTATCTCTACGTGCGATGAATCGGCTGCATTATGTGTCCAACCTTTTGGAAAAGATCCCTGGTTGTTTTGCTAACTTCGCTCAAGTTGTCCATTAGCAAATCCATGGCATCTTCTACATTTTTGGCAAGTTCAGGGGTTCTGGAAAATACAAATATTCGGAGTTAGAGCACTTTGTTTCTTTACTTCTTGACGTAGGAAATGATTGCATCTGGGTCGTCAGGGATATCTACACGACCAGTTTCGATATCATTCACTCCGGCCACCAACTTATTTTTGGTGGAATCAGAAAGCTGCAAATGAAAAGGGTACGGTAATCCAACAACCAATCACGAGAATACTGTTACCACACTGTCTCAACTTTGAAGAAAAGTAAACTCACACCGCGGAAGAGCAATTTGATTTCCTTGGGGACATAGTCTAGGGGAAAAGGTAAGATAACAATCGCATGAGGACAAATACTCTTATACCTCTGTAATCGTTGAGAATTGAAATATAGTAGTCCAATGCAGCACGATTAAATGCAGTTTTAGTATTGAGAAGTGGCTCCAAGGAAATTTCGCGATCAATTGGGTCTTGGATGCGATGCGATCTTGGAATCGCAGCCACCAGCGATGAAGCCAAAGCGAAGCAAAGAACGAAGAACTTCATGTTTTATTACCTGCTTAGTAATTTTTACGGTAATCGTATGAGTGCTGTTCGGAAAAAATCAAGGATAATGACTATGATTTGGAGTAATGACTCAAAGTAAGAATGTTCATGGTCTCGGCGTCCGTCCTTATATGGGACCCATTGTTTTTTGCTTTATGCTAAGTTACTCTAAATACATACACAATCGTGTACGAACTGCTTAAGCGAAAGCATAAGCCGATAACAATAACAATAGGCTTTCGCTTCCCTTGTACGCATAAATCATATGAAT